GCAAGATTCTGCTGAAGATTATCCAAAAAAGATTGGAACAGTACATCAACAAAGAACTACCAGAAGTGCAGGCTGGATTTAGAAGAGGTCGTGGCATTAGGGATATTATAGCTAATGTCAGATGGATATTGGCTGAAAGCAGAGAGTAACAGAGGGATGTCTTTCTGTGTTTCATTGGTTATGCAAAGACATTTCACTGTGTGGATCACAACAAACTGTGGCTGGCTCTGAGAAGAATGGGAATCCCAGAACACTTGATTGTGCTTATGCAAAACCTATACTTGGGCCAGGAGACAGTCATCAGAACAGAACAAGGAAACACTGCATGGTTCAAAATTGGGAAGGGTGTGCATCAAGGATGTGTCTTATCTTCATATCTTTTCGAACTATATGCAGGACATATTATCTGGGAGGCTGGGCTCTATGAGGAGAAATGTGGCATCAGGATTGGATGTAGACTCATCAACAATCTGCGTTATGCAGATGACACAACCCTGCTTGCTGAAACTAAGGAGGACCTGAAGTATTTGCTGCAGAAGGTCAAGGACTGAAGCCTTCACTATGGGTTGAAGCTCAACATCAAGAAAACATAGATTCTCACCACTGGACTGATTGGCAGCATCATGATAGATGATTAAGAGATTGAGATTGTTTACAGCTTCAGTTTGCTTGGCTCTACAATCAACACTCTTGGTACTAGCAGCCAGGAAATTATAAGATAAATTGTACTGGGAAAGTCTGCTGTTGCTGTCAGAGACCTCTCCAAAATACTGAAGCACAACAATGTTATTCTGGAAACTAAGGTGCACCTGATACAGGCCATGGTCTTTGCAATCACTTGTTATGCATCAGAGAGCTGGACAAGGACTAGGGATGATAGAAGGAGAGTTGATGCCTTTGAGCTGTGGTGCTGGAGAGGAGTATTGAATATACAATGACCTGCTAGAAGAACAAACAAGTCATCCTGGAGAGAGTGAAGCCAGGCTGTTCCCTGGAGGCAAGGATTCTGAAGCTTCATCTAACATACTCTGGAGATGCTTCAAGGTGGGACTAGTCCTTGGAGAGGGATGTCATGCTTGGGAGGGTGGAGAGACAGTGCAGGAGAGGAAGACCCTTGATGAGATGGATTGATTCAGTCACTAAGGTAATGGGGATAGGCGTGCCGGAGACAATAAGATTGGCAAGGGATAGAGGAGGGTACAGGTCTCTTGTACATAGGGTTTCTATGAGTCTCAGCCAACTCGATGGCACATAAAACACATAACAACAACAATACACACACAGACACACACATCCCTATGTTCACTGTGAAGGAGTAGCATCCACTTCCTAAACGACATTCTCTGGAAACTCCATGATCTTCGAGAAATAATAGTTATAGAAAGGCTTCAGGTCTTTTGTTCATAGGGTCACTATGAGTAGTGCTCAACTTGGCATCAATCAACAACAACATGCTCATTGTCACATTATTCACAATCACAAAGATATAGAAGCAACCCAAATGTTCAACAATGAATGAAAAGATCAAGAAATCATGATACATTCAGACAACGGAGTACTGTGTAACACTGAAAAACAATAAAGGACTCATGAAATGCTGCATAATATGGATGAGTCTAGAGGAAATTATGTCAACAAAAATAAATCTATCACCAAAGGACAATTGTAGTATAAGATCACTATTATAAAACACTAAAGAAAGATTTACACAAAGACAGAATCATCCTTGCATTGTTACCATGGAGGTTTAAATGAGTAAAAATTAAGAAATAGATACTAAACACTAAAACAGGGAAGGGAAAGGCAATACAGAAGAAGTGGATAATCAGGTATTGTGGGTATTGTAATTAATGTTATAAAAATTGTTTATGAATGGCTAGTTGAAAAACCAAAATGCTTTGTAAACTCAAGAGACAATTTTAAAGAGAGGGAAATCAAACTACATATTGCATTGGCAGATCTGCTGCACAGAACACAAGCATTCTAGTACAGAAAAAAAATGAATTTTAAAAAAAGACCTCTTTCTTTTTAAAGTGTTAAATTATTTAAGCACTTGGTTGAGGATGCATAAAACTGAAATACCGTGGCTCTAAAAAGCAGCTCGGAAAGGAAGGGGAGTAAAAATTAATAAATAGATAATGTTGTCGTTGTTGTGTTCTGTCTGTCATATCAAAACTGACCCATAGCTGACCCACTGGCCGGTTTTCAGAGGCAGTTAATTGCATGGGAGGAGAATGTCCATCCTTCTCCAGTGGAGCAATTGGTGGATTCGAAATCTATGGCTTTGGGATTTCAGCACAGCTTCTTTTCATTAGGCCACCAGTGCTCCCTAAATAGATAATAAACATTTCTTTTCAAAAAGAAAAACGCCTTGTGGTAGCACAATGGTTAGGGCATTTGAATGCAAGATGAAAGTTTGGCGATTCAAACCTACCAGTCACCTAGTGTGGGAAATATGTGGCTGATTGCTTCTGTAATACAGATTCTAGTCCTGGAAATCCCATGGCCCAGTTCTACTCCATCCTGTAGAGTCTCTATCAAATGGAACTGATTCCATGAGAAAACTTCTTTAAAGTGTCAAAAAGCAGTAACTTTAAGAACCTGGCCCATGCCATGGTCTTTAATGGCCTCATATCCAAATAAGAGCTGGGTAATAAATCAGGAAGATCAACTTGATGCTTTTGAATTGTGATGCTAAAGAATATTGATTGTCAGATCCATGAGCAAGTGCATCTCGGAAGAAGCACAGCCTGTGTGTGCCTTAGAAAAGAATATGGCAAACCTTCATCATATATACTTGGGCCATATTATGAGAAGGGACTAGACCCTTGAGGAGTACATCATGTGAGGCAAAGCAAGAGGTCAGTGAAAAAGAGAAACCCATCAATGAGATGGTTTGATACATTGACAGAAATGGGTTTAAATCCAGCAATGATTTTGAGGCTGGCCCAGGACTAGGCAGTGTTTTGTTAGGTTATACATGGGACCTCTGTGAGCCAAAACTTGCTTGACAGCAGCTGACTTTCAATGGCTTCCTACATTGTCTGGCTTTAAAATTCTTTTGGGCTTCATTATACCACTCATGCAGGAGAAGAATGCCCAGTCTCCTCCTGTGTAACTTACTGCCTCTGAAAACCCACTGAAGGGTAGGCTAGGGGACGGCACACAACCACAACTCAGGTCAGATTGACAGCAACAACTTGAAAGATGATTTTGGAGCCTTAGGCGTCAGTGCAATGACCCCCTAAGTTTGTGCAATAGAGGAAGGACAATTCCGAAGGGAGGTTGGGATTGGTTACATGACTTAAAGAATGTCATCAACGTCAGTGACATGTAGACACTTGGAAAAAACTGTTGAAATATGCTTTGCTGAGAGCTCAGGAGTAATAGCCCTAAGCGTGGTGTGATGCATTTCTGGTAGTTTTAATCTACCAGCAGCCACTAAGGAGAAAAATGGACAGTCTTCCTGTTAAGATGTGTAGCCTCAGAAACCCAATGGAGAGTCATGTTGAGTTGTAATCAACAGCCAGGGGGTTTGAGTTTGGGGTTTGCTATGAATACTCTCACAATAAAAACAGCAACAAAAGAAGTGAAACTTAAGAGAAAAAGGAGTTCAGACTCTGGAACTGTTTTATGTTCCTCTCGCCCAGCCTTCTCACATACCAGCTCTTACTAAACTTGTGCTTCTCCACACTGGGTTTTCCTCCCTTCGAAGGTTTCCTTTCTAATCTCTAAGGCCCTGGCTTCCCTTCCTTTTGCTTCCCTGAGGCAACTGGACAAACATTTCCAACATATTCTCATCGACATTCAAGATCTGTGATTCTCAAGATGCGATCTTTTTTTTTAGTGTGTGTGTGTGTGTGTGTGTGTGTGTGTGTGTGTGTGTGTGTGTGTGTGTACCGTCAAATAGTCAAATAGGATCTGCTGACTGGTACAGGAGGAGATTGTCCCTCCTTCTCCAGTAGAGAATCTGATAGATCTGAACCATGTGCCTCTGGGATTGCAGTACAGCTTCTTACCACTAGGCCACCAGAGCTCCCTTCAAGATGTGATCTTAAGAGAAGCAACATCAGCCTTGGCCAGGAGTTTGCTGAACAGATGTGCAAAATCCTCATCTCAGAACTGAGGAATCAGAAACCGCAGGGTAACACCTGGTCATCTGTGGGTCATCTGTGTTTTCTCGAACTCTCCGTCCGTGATTATTCTGATACAAACGAAAGCTTGAGAGCCACTGCTCTAGACATGCCCAAAGCTAGTTATCTTCAGACTTGGATGGACCCTTCCTCAGTGTTTGAATTTGAGCATGAACAAGAAAAAGGGTGGAATGAATGAATAAAGACCTGAATTTAAGCCTCAAGGCCTGGTTTCTGAACAGTGCAGCTAAATGGCAAAGCAATTTGACAGCTTCCCTCTTTATCTGTCCCATGAGCTCCTGAGTATATAAACAGTTGATGTGATTGCCTCCTAACCAGAAGTGCCTCAGGTCAGGCAATGAACTTATGAAAGATCAGCCACTGAAAATCCTACAGAACACAGTTCTACTCTAACATCCTTGGGGTCATCACGAGTCACAGTTAACTCAACAGTCACTGACTGCTTTCACTCAAGGTATTAACTCAAGTAACCCGACAGTAACTAATTACTGACTACTTGCCTTGCAAGCCAAATCCAATCCCCAAATGCTGGAGCCACACTGACAATCAGTAACCAGAGGTAGAGGACCCGCCATTTCCGCCTCGGGAACGCATAAATCCTAACTATTTCAGAGATAAAAGCTCTGTACTTTCTTCTCTAGTTGTCATTTCACAATCACACATCAAGCAATTTCTTTTTAGGTAAACAGATATGGTGTCAAGGTCAGGTATAAGAAGGGACCTTGTTGTCTTGGAAACGCTCATCATCTACCTAAGTTTGTTCCCACCTCGGGTTCCTTCACAGGTTCCCAAAGGCATGCTTTTGGATCCTAGGGGCCCTGTGGTTCCCACTGTGGCCCTGCTTACCCTCCATTGCTTTGTGCTGTTTGAGGAACAGGATTCTAACCACATTGCTGGCAGTGAGTAGTAGCCTGGGATCGCACATCTGCAGCAGCTGGAGGGTGTAATTGACCTTAGTTTCCTGGCTGCTTCTTGCAAACCAACCCAAGATTTCCTTCATCTTCAGTTCCAGGGTCTTGTCCAGTGCTTGGTTCAAGGAAGGCTTCACCCTGTTTGCTTCCCTCCTGCTGATGTGGATTCGGGATCTGCTGTAGATGAAGTCTTTCCCCTGCATGGTCTGAAGGATGTTCTGGAAATAGTTTAAAAAATGTAAGCTGTCTAATTGTTTCAGGATGCTAACTAGGAACTGTCTTTGTGACGCCTCGCTGATCCTGCAAAACCACTCTTTGGTGGAGAAGATTTTTGAGGCCAGGACACCTGTTTCATACATCTGACACATGGGAAGAGAGTCATTTCTCTTATCAAAACCAAAACAAGGGACATTGTTGAACTTCCTGTTCAGGTTTTCCATGATGCCAAGATGACAAGTTCATCCTTGACTATTAACAACTCACCAAAACTCCAGGGAAACAGGACAGACTGGTAAATACTCCGACTGAACTGAGCCGTCTCTATTGTAAACAGGCCCCGAGGGGAGAAAACAACCATAAAACGTTGTGATAGATGGAAAGCTCATTCCTCCCCCAAAAAGTGCCCTTTTGGTTGAGGTTTGCGTCCGTTGTGGTTTTCCCCCCTTTTTTCCTTCGCTGACTTCCTTGGAAACATGGCTTTACCGTAAATCTCCTAAAACTGGTACTGATAATATTGAGTCAGTTACTGTATATTATATAAAAGCTGGTAATGTCATTTCCAAAGAAACTGTACTGGTGTTAGCCTAACACAAAATTGGTATTTTCTTTATGTTCTTTGCATCCTACTAGGTTATATTACTTCTCAACATCCAGAAAACAAAAATCTTCACCACTGGACCAATAGACAACATTATTGACAGCAGAGAAAAGATTGAAGTTGTCAACAATTTCATTTTAGTTGGATCCACAATCAACACTCATGATAGCAGCAGTCAGGAATCAAAAGATGTGTTGCACTGGGGAAAACTGCTGTCAAGAATCTCTCTAAAGTTCTAAAGAGCAAGGGTGTCAGTTTAAAGACTAAGAAGCACCTTATCCAAGGCATGGTATTTTCAATTGCTTCATATGCATCTGAAAGTTGGACAATGAATAAGGATTACAACAGAAACATGATTGATGCCTTTGAATTGTGATATTGCTGAAGAGTGTGGACTCTACCACGGACTGTCAAAGAGCAAGCAAATCCATCTGAAAGAAAGTATAACTCGGGTGCTCCTTAGAGGCAAGGATGGTGAAATATCACCTCATTTAACTTTGGACATGTTCGCAGGAAGGGCTAGTCTCTGGAAAAAGGCACCATGCTGGGAAAGGTCAAAGATCAGAGAAAGAGAAGACCCTCAATGAAGTGGGTTAACACAGTGACTCCCACAGTGGGACTGAATATGACAGAGATTGTGAGGATGGGGCAGGATAGGGCAAGGTTCAAATCTGTGGTTCATGGAGTTGTTACGAATCATAGTCAGTGACAGCTGCACATAATAAAAAGAAATCAAATTCACTGCAATGTAGTCAAGTCTAACCCACAGTTCTGAGGCTACAAATCTTATGTGAAGAGACTACTTTTCTCTTGAGGACTAACTAGTGGATTCAAACAAGTGACCTTATGGTTAGCAGCCCATTACATTATTCACCATGCCACCAGGGCTCCTTGATACATGTTATTACGTGCTGTCAAGTAGGAACAGACTCATAGCTGACCCTCCAGTGGGTTTTTAGAGGCTGTAAAATTTGCACAGGAAGAGATTTCCCATCTTTCTCCTTCAGAGAAGCTGGTGGATTCTAACCCTGTTGTAGAGGGACTTCAGGCCTTTTGTTCATAGGGTCGCTATGAGTTATGCTTGACTCGAAGGCAATCAACAACAGTGGTCTTACCCACTAGGCCACTACATCTTCTTTTATACATATACATAAAATATAAAATTAGATATAAACTTCTTATGACGTTAGATTATATGATGGCTATTGCTATGAGCTTGAATATGTTTAGATTAATTTCCTTAAATCATCATAAAAATAAAATCACAAACATTTAGTATCAATATATATTATTCAACGGCTCCAGAATGATAAGCAGAAAGTTCTGCAATGAAGTACTCCTTGATGGAGAAAATGTCTCTGGGCTGGAGAATGTATTTGGGGACCTCCAGCCTCTAAAAACGGTAGCCCAACAGAGTGTGGAAATTATAAAACAATAATCGGGATGGGTGTATCAGAGACGGTGCAATTGGCACAGGACAGAGCAGAGTTTAGGTCTGTTGCACATAGGGTCGCTGAGTCGCAAGCGACTTGATGGCACATAACAACAACATCACTAATATCACACACTAGCAAAATCCTGCTGAAGATTATTCAGAAACGACCAGAACAGGACATTGACAGAGAACTATCAGAAAAATACAAGCTGGGTTTAGAAGAGGTCATGGCACCAGATATATTATTGCCAGTAACAGATTAAGTCTGTCAGAGATGATGAGATTGGCTCAGGATAGGGCAGCTTTCAGAGCTGAAGTACTTGGGATTGTTGTGAATTGCAGATTACTTGATGGCACATTGTTGTCGTTGTTATGTGCCATCGAGTCGCTTGCGACTCATAGTGACCCTATGTACAACAGCCCTAAACCCTGCTCTATCCTGTGCCAATCGCAC